ATGATATCAGAACCCAAGGCAAGCTCATGGAGCTGCTTTTCACTAGAATTTCATCATTTGAGGGGTTTTTTCTCTTGCATGTTTAAGCACAGCTATTTTTCGTTGTCTGGCAAATGTCATGATTTTTAAGGAATAAAATGCGCGTTCATCCGTCACAAACAAAACCTGCATGACAATAACAGAGAAGAAAATGCATAATCAAAATGAACAGTGCTGTCAAGCTAGAACTGAAAGACACTTGCAGTATCTGGGATATTCACTCCCAACCTTACCAACAATCTTTAATCAAGATATGATATCAAATATCTTGCATGACAACCAATCAAATAAAATGTCTCATCTCACTCATTTGTGTTTGCATTAATCCTATTGAAGTATAGATGTATATGTTGTATCAAGGATGGTAACCACTGATTTCCTCAAATGTTCGTTGGTCTCGACACCCAACAACCTATCCTTAAGTATTTGTGGTAAATACCTAACCAGGGTTACTGTCTTTACACAATTTCACTTTGTCTGTTCCCGTTTCATCATCGAACCAAAAGTAAATATGCCCTGACTGAGCTATGGCACCCACAGCCCTCTCTCTTCTTTCTCTTGTCTCTGAGCTCTGTGGACATCCTGTCACCCGAGCTTCAGGAGCCCCCTCACCATTGTCAATCACCACCCCTACCACAAAAGCACTGGGGCTCCTTCAGATAAAAGGGGAAGATCACTTCAGACTTAATTGTGCTGTAGATAGCCAGCGACAGTATCTGATGCAGGGCTGAATGGCAGAGTGAGGAGATGGGACAGGGTTTCCTTGCTGATGCAACACTCTTATATTACCCCAAATTAAAAGAAAAGGCTAGATGTATAGGATTCTCTCTAGTTGATCACTTCATTTGTATTTGTTCCGTTCATGGTATGCACAACTTAATAACAATTATTTACAAAACATGTCTCTATAAACACACCATACCCGGAAAGGAGCCGGGAGAAGAACATAATCTTATATTCTTATATTACCTGCCCCTTTCTCAACAAAAAAAAGGAAATAGAAATAGGTGGTCTGTCCTTCATGTTTTCTTATTCACAGCCAATCATAAGAGTATGGTAGGAAAACAAGAGAAACACACAAAAAAAATACTTAGTTCCCCACTTGACAGTTAACGGAAATAAATGTATAGGATTCTCTCTAGTTGAACACAAATTAAGGAGACAAACCTCAGTTCATTTCTTTTAAAATATTTTCCAAATATCTCAAACGTATTGGGGTCCAGAAATGTGCAGGACACATTTACATACAGCAGGTGGCACACACAGCCTGATGTTGTTCTACATTTCTATCTGCGCCACAGCACATCTCACCGTGTACTTAGTTACTTCGAGTTGCATCATCACGTTCAACCCAATTTATCTCAAATCTAAATGTAGAACTGCAATACCAGCAGATTATGGTTAAATATCTAAAGAAAATACTTAACAGCACATCTGATGTTGTTAGGTTAGCTGCAGGCCAACTTCAGGCTTCTCAGCTTGAGTGTATCTGTTTACATTTGAAGCAGCTATGATGTGACAATGGTATCACTCAGCAAACCTGCTCGACAGGCTTTCAGTTTCTGTTCCTGTTTTGTGACCTCCTGCCTGATCTTTTTTTATCTCCCTTTCCTTTCCTGTCACAGGTACTCTCCAGAAACAGGGTGACCAACAGGATGTTAGCTTTCAGGACCAACTAATGTTTAAATAAAGGAGTGGCTCTTTTAATGTGAAATCTCCCATTGTTGCTCCTTATCTGTAAGCAAACCATCTTCCTGGTCATGTTTCATTTTTGTCTTTGTACGTTAAGATGGTAATTTTCATAGCAGAAGCAGCATCAATAGACTATTAGAAAAAAAAAGTTAAAACAGATAAGTCAGGTATAGCTTTACCCATTTTACCCCGGGATAAATTAAGTATTCTGATACTGATTCTGACATTAAAGCCATCTGAGACTAAATTATTAAGTCTCAGATGGCTTTAATGTCAGAATCAGTATATATGACAAACTTCACAAAACATTATTACATTGCATTTCTAACTCCATAGCAATGTGCAACTTGAATAATGCCAATAGCACATGCACAAAGATAGACATTGATTGAAAAGTGTATTAACAGCTTGTAGATTGGGTACAGTACAGTACAGCTCAAAACATACAATTGTTAAGGGGATGCAGACCAGAGAAAGACTTTCGTCTTGTTTACATCAGGGTCCCCCATTTCCAATTCATCATGTCATTTAAGACATATAAGACATATTTGACATACAGATGGCTTATTTACAATTTACATACAGGTGGTTTTTTTACATACAGATTGCTTGTTTACAATTTTCATTTTAGATTTCGTTCTAATACATCCTAACCGGACATTTAAGACATACCAAGTCTACAGATATACAGTTAGTAACAGAGTCTAAAATGCGAGTATATACATAGATGGGGGGGGGGGGGAAGCTGTCCATTGAACGACAGGTTGAGATTTGTACCATTACCGGGGCCAGTTTTGCAATGCTCTCCCCCGAAAGGTGCTCTTTAAGAGAGGTTTTGAAGGTAAGTATAGTTTTACTTTCCTTTACAGTTGTGGGAAGAGCGTTCCACCTTGATGTGGCATAATTGCGAAACGTGTATTCCCCCTTTTTTGTGCCAAATCTGGGTTTCACATGATTTGTGGAGCTCCCTCTGGTGTTATGATCATGGTATTCCTTGACCTTTGGGAAGAATTTTGACATGTACATGGGTACCATAGAGGTGTAGTGGATCTTGTAGACCAGGCCCATTGCAAGTAGCTGTACTCTGTCGTCTACTCTAAGCCATCCTAGGTTGTCAAAGTGGGCAGAGGTGAGGTGGGTTCTAGATGAAAGGTCAAGCAGTAGTCTGACCAGTTTGTTTTGCGATGTTTGAAGTTTTATTTTTAGCGCCTTGGAGGTGCTATGGTACCATGACGTGCAAGCATAGTCATAGTACCCTTGAATGAGTGCTCCTGCCAGAGTTTTCAGGGTGTTTTTGTTTACCAGAGAGGAGATCCGGTATAGGAATCTAGTTCTTTGATTGACTTTTTTTATTACATTGGATGCCATTTTGTCACAGGAGAGGTTTGCCTCAAGAATAGATCCTAGGTATGTAATTTCCTTCTTACTTGTGACAATAATGTCGCCCACTGCAACTGAGAAGTCTTCGGATTTGCTGAGATTATGTTTCGAACCGAAGAGAATGGACTCTGTTTTACCCAGGTGTAATGATCATTTATTATCGGCGAGCCAGGTGCAGATTCTGCCGAGTTCGGAGCTGAGGGTTTTTTCAACCTGCAACCTGTTCCTGTCAGAGACCAGCAGGGCTGAGTCGTCCGCGAACAGGAACAAGTTGCAGTCACATGCTGATGACATGTCATTTACATAAATTAGGAACAGTAACGGACCTAATATGCTTCCTTGTGGAACACCACAGCTCACTGGGAGGGGGGGGGGGACAGAGTACCGTTTACCTCCACCATCTGTTCTCTCCCCTCCAGGTAGGATTGCATCCAGCTCACCGATAGTTTATCAAAACCAATTGTTTTTAGCTTGTCAATCAGAATGGGGTGATTGACAGTGTCGAAAGCCTTTTGTAGGTCCAGCATCACCATGCCGCAGTACTTGCCCTCGTCCACCTCTTGTTTGATGTGGTCGCTCAAATAAAGAAGGCATGTGTCAGTGGAGTGGGATGTTCTAAAGCCAGATTGAAATTCATAGATTAGTTTCTTTTCCGCGAGGTACTTTTCGACCTGTTCATATACTATTTTTTCCATGACTTTCGAGATGGAGGTAAGTATAGAGACAGGGCGGTAGTTGCCTGGGTCCAATTTGCTGCCCTTTTTGTGCATTTATGGCCATGCATCATGTGTTTATGATGCGGCTGTGGCTCAGTGGATAGAGTGCTGGACTTCGAATTAGGGGGTACCAAGTTCGAGTCCCACTGTAGTCAGCATGTCGTTGTGTTCCTGGGCAAGCCCAAATTGCTCCTGTGGGGATTGTCCACAGTACTGAATGTATGTAAGTCGCTTTGGATAAAAGCGTCTAACATGTAATGTAATGTTTACTGGGACAATGCCATATTTAATCAGTGGTGGCCGGTAACTAATAATATGTACTCAAATAATGTAGTTAATTATAATGTTGAGGTACTTGCAGTGGATTAAAAGTATAGTAAAAAAAATGAAATATTAAAAGTACTAATTTCCTGCTACTTTATACTTGTAGTCCACCACAAGCCAGAAGCAAATATTGTACTTTTCACACCACTATTTAATAAGTACAAGATTTAACACAGGACTTTTACTTGTAATAGAGTATTTCTACAATGTAGTATGATTAGTTTTGCTTAAGTAAAATATATGTAACACGTGTAGAGTACTTCTTTCCCCTATGTATTTCAGTCCATGATTTGCAGACTGATTGTGAATAAACAGGAAATAGGCCTAAAAATGTTCCGTTGTCAGACTACTTGCCACATCAAGTGACTCTGGTCATTTTAGGGGCAGATGAGCGCAACATAAAAATGTACTACAGTAAAGGAACATACGATTGTGAAAAGGTGGTCCTTCCAAAGTTGTAAGTGTAATTTCTCTTCATGTAATAATTAAAGACATAAAGTTTTGAGTTTTATTTTTAAAATCCAATTGAGTTTGAAGAGGTTTCAAAAGCCCAAGACGTAGAACATACTTAAAACTGTGTAAACTTTAGTCGCCGACACTAAACTTGCAAGGTTTCCACATGTCAACATAGTCATACTCTTTCTTTGTATATGTGCTTGTCATGCATGATGAGAAATGATGGCCAATCTGTAACACTTTTTTCAGATAAATGCAGAGGAGTTGGCACTGAAACCATGGGAGGAATAGAGGTCAAGCCAACGAAAACCAGTAGGATGACATTGCAGGCATGAGGATATACTGGACACAGCATTTTACACAAGATACGGGACAAGCATTTCCTGAGGAGCCATGAGAGCAAAACTGGAGGTCCTGGCCCTGGTTCTGGGCTCCATCGGCCTGTGTGGGACCATCGCTGTCACTGCCCTGCCCATATGGAGGGTCTCTGCCTTCATTGGTGCCAATCTCATAGTCATGGAGGAACTCTGGGAGGGTTTGTGGATGAACTGCTACAGACAGGCCGACATCAACATGCAGTGCAAGGTCTACGACTCACTGCTGATTCTCCCCCCAGAGCTGCAGGCAGCCCAGGGGCTCATGTGTGTGTCCATAGTCCTGGTGGTCCTCTCCCTGTTCGTCACAGGATGTGGGACCAAGAAGAGCAACTGCTGTGGCGACAACCCAAAGAGCAAGAACATCACTTTGGCTTTAGGGGGTAGCTTATATCTGCTTTCCTTTCTGACCACGCTCATCCCTGTTAGCTGGGTGGCCCACACCGTCATCAGGAACTTCTACAGCCCACTGGTGGTGGATTCTCAGAAACGGGAGCTGGGAGAGGCCCTGTTTATTGGCTGGGCCACTTCTGGCATTCTGCTGATCACCGGGGTCATCCTTCTGTCAAGCTACTGCAAACGTAGATCAAAGGAGGAAGAGCCTTATACTGATGTGCATCTTATTGCGGTGAGCATACAGAAAGAGGGGAGCATGTACCTTGGGAGGACCCCATCCAGCTCTTATAAGCATCAAGAATATGTGTAAAGAACTGAACTGTACATCTCGCATGATTGCAGAATATTTGAATAATGCTACCTGAACAAAGGTCACAATATAAGGCCAAGAGTGTGCAATTTATGTATGAATATAAATGTATTACTACCCATCTACATATTTTAATCATTCTTACTGTACCCGTTACTCCTTTTATGGTTCTCATGTTTATTGTTGTATGCTCAGTCCAAATTATTTCCTGAATATATGTTTTGTATATAAAACTATTCTAGACTATAGATATGCTTATTAAGTAATCAGTTTAATATGATATTAACATTTCTCGCACCACTCTATACTGTCTATATATCAAATCAGGTTTTATTTATATAACACATTTTAAAAACGATTTTTGGTCGAGCCAAAGTGCTGTACATATAATAATGACCTTACAGTAAGGACACTATACAGTAAATACAACAGCACAGTTTGTGCAGAATATCAGTATGAGAAAGCGATACCCTCTGACCTTAGACCCTCACATCGTACAAGGAAAAACTTCCAGAGAAAAAACTATATATAATCTATAATGTTGTTTTTATGCCTTTTTTTGTAACTGTAATTTTGACTGTTCAAATGCTTTTAATCTTTATGATTTGATAATCATTTAAGACTATAGTCACACAAAATAAGTCAGAGCTAAATAAATGTGTTTTGTCCTTATTCACTTGTGTGATTGTATTTTTTCTACCATTTCCCACAACACCTTTGAGACTTCTTGGTATTACCTTTCAGATATTTAATATTATTACCAAATGCAGATATATTTATATTTTCGAAACTGTACAGATTGTCTAAAGGCAGGCCAGGAAAACTTTAGTGTTGCAGTCGCAAGGTGTGAATGGCTGGCACATGTTACAATGAAACCAATCCTACTTGGGTTTCTATGCTCAACACCTTTTTATCGGCTCAGGTTACATTTGAAGGAGGAGACAGTTTGACATCTCTGAGATCATCCTATCAGATTACAGTCTGAGAGACAACAGATTCTCAGCTATTCTAAAAAAAGACACTATGTGGACTCTTTGTTTGACAACATTTGTATCCAAAATTAGATTTCATACTATGTTTTAGACAGAGACATTGTATGAGGTAGGTTGCCGACATCGCCGCAGACCCCTGACGCCTTTTACGTGAGCCGATCCCCGCTCTGGCAACACCACATGTTATCAAGCGAGTCTTATCTCCTAACTGGTGACAGTTAGGAGATTCTAGACGTATTCTCATGTATAGTAACGTTTTCGCTAGCAAGTTTTCTGTTTAGATTATGAACTATCATTAAATACATTTAAAATATTGTTCAATGTAGTATTAAAGTGGTGTTGAAATGTCTCAAACTTGACCATATTTCAAAAAAAGGTTTGATCAACCTGCTTGGATCAAAAGTTACTTCATAAAGTGATTCAATCTGTTTTTGATTAAATCTACTTAATCATGAGACCAAATGGTTGATTGTTTGTCGGGTGATTGCATTTGCATTTCAAAAGAAGCGCCACTCTCTGTTGTGTTCCCATGTAGCTGTGAAGCAGCTCAACCAGTAAGATTGCATTGCATACTTAGCGTCTTTTTCTGGGTGTATAAGTTCCTTGACTTGCTTTTCTCCTCAGATTTCTTTCCAGAGCCGGCAGAGAACAGCCAAAGGTCTATCCTTGGCTCTCTGTGGTAGCAATGGCCGCTTACACTGCTTACAGTGGTTACAGCAAGCCGCCTCAATCTTACGCAGGCTCTTACTACGATGAGAAGCAGGCCAAGACATATGCCGATTATCAAGATTCTGTAGAAGAGGAAAAAAGGAGAGTTGAGAAGAAGGACCGTAAGGATGCCATCTGTTGTGAGGTAGTGGCCCTCATCATCGGCTTCATTGGACTCATTGGAGTGGCAGCTGTGACGGGCCTGCCGATGTGGAAGGTGACAGCGTTCATAGAAGAGAACATCATTGTCATGGAGACTCGGTGGGAAGGTTTGTGGATGAACTGCTACAGACAAGCCAATATCAGAATGCAGTGCAAGGTGTACGATTCTCTACTGTTTCTGCCCCCGGACCTCCAGGCTGCCAGGGGTCTGATGTGCAGCTCTGTGGCCCTGTCCTGCTTCGCCCTCGTCGTTTCAGCAGTTGGAATGAAATGTACCAAAATTGTGGACCATCGGGCTCGCACCAAGCATATTGTTCTTGTGGCTGGGGGCTGTCTGTTCCTTCTGGCCTGCCTCACTAGCATAATCCCTGTGTCCTGGACCGCCCATGTCATCATCAGGGATTTCTACAACCCTCTGCTGATCGATGCCCAGCGCAGGGAGCTCGGTGAGGCTCTTTACATCGGCTGGGTGACTTCAGCTTTGCTTTTCACTGCGGGAGTGATCCTGCTGTGCCGTCACGCTCCCCGCACCCAGGAATCAGATGAGAGGATTGTATACAACAATGGAAATATCTACCAGCCTGGATACCCTTATCAGCCTGCTTACTCCTACCAGCCAGCTTACACCTACCAGCCTGGCTACCAGCCTGCCTACTCAGTACCCCCACCTGGGTCTGTGGCATACACACCAAGTCAGTACTAGTAAGGAAATTCAAGACCTTTTTGGACTATTTTGTTTTTAAAGACTTGGCACATTTTAATGAGTTTTATCGGACTAATGGGACCAAAGCCCGTCACTGGAAATGGACAAATCTTTTATTACTTCCACGTTTATTACTTGTGTTTTGATCATCATGCATTGTGCTGAATTACTGTATGTATTGTTTCTTGACATATGTGTAGTTAACACTAAATGATATCAGTCATTCAAAAGTATTTCATCTGTAACAGCGTAATACAAAAGTGACTGATATCACTGTCCTAACTGCCTCTGACATGCTCTTTGAGAACAAATGATGCACTAGGCCTTCAGATAATATACATCCATATGATTGTGTTTACTGCTGAGTTTTTGTTGTGAATTAACCTTTTTTTTTATTTTTTATTAAATGATGACATAAAATGGCTTTTGTGGTTTTCAATAAAGGGATAATGTTAACAAAAATAAGTTGTATGTTTTTTTCTTCTGTTGCCTAATACAATGAGGCGTCCTACTGAAACTGCACCCATTTAGCTCACCGGTGTGTAAGTGGAAGGTTGGTATGTTGTTTCCATTGTCGTCAGTGTAGATGTTATTTAACTGGTAAAACCAGACTGTCCTCACAGGTCCACCCATACAGCAAACCAGCCAAGATATTTCAAACAAGCCAGAGCTCCAACTGCTAGCCATTTCCTGAGCACAGACACACACAAGGGACCAAAAAAAGATATCCAATACTGACAGTGACACATTGGTACACAAGTATTACCCCTATCCCATAATAAAAGACACACTAATATAAACAAATATGATGTTTCTCAATGCTCTTTTATAACTGGTATAACGTTAACATTAAGTCACAGCTAGTCAAAATGTGATGAATTCAAAAATCCCGCTCTTGTAAATAAACTCCCCATTTTAGTTTTTATTATCCCTGTAAAACGTAATTCGAGAATGTAAATCGAGACTTCTGAATACCCAAGGTGGCAGCTTATAGAATCTCCTGGGGTAGGTGTACAAAGAAAATAAATGGCCTGGGGTATTCAGTTTCCTGGCAACCTGTTGCATTTCCCACCCCTCCCATGTTAGTGTCCTGTCTACAGGGAGGAGGCAGAACACCGACCTGCTCCTCCTCCACTGGGATGCAAATACACTCCATCTACTTCTTCCCTTCTATAGTCACACTGTGTCCACACATTATTGAACGCATGAGTTTGGAGGAATAAGAGGAGGAAAGCATGGCCAACTCAGCACTGGAGCTAGTGGGTCTGATCTTGACCCTGGCCGGGCTGATCGGGGCAGCAGCCAGCACTGGGATGCCGATGTGGCGAGTCACAGCCTTCATTGGGGAGAACATCATTGTGTTTGAAACCCGCTTTGAGGGTCTGTGGATGAATTGTTATCGTCAGGCCAACATCAGAATGCAGTGTAAGGTGTATGACTCTCTCCTGGCTCTGCCCCCTGATCTGCAGGCAGCGAGGGGGCTAATGTGCTGCTCTCTGGCACTGGGTGGTATTGGTCTTCTAATCAGCATGGTGGGGCTTCAGTGCACGTCATGCATCCACAACAACGACCGGGCTAAGCGGCTGGTCCTCATCATTGCAGGAAGCCTGGTCCTAATGGCTTGCATCTGCGTTATCATCCCCGTGTCCTGGACAGGTCACGTCATCATCAGGGACTTCTACAACCCTCTGCTGATTGACGCTCAGCGCAGGGAGCTTGGAGAGGCTCTCTACATTGGCTGGGTGGCCTCCGCTTTCTTTTTCGCTGGAGGATGCATTTTTATTTGTTGCAATCTGCAGTCGGAAGAAAAAGGTCCAGCGAGGTATGTGTACTCGAGGAACTCTGACTACATGGCATACCCTCAGCCTCTGCAGCCTCAACAGATGGTGCTACTTCCCCAAACACAACCCCAGTTTCAGCCGATGCTGTCAAGACATCCATCAACCGTCTACAGCTACTCATCCAGACACCCCTCTGAAAGGGGGTGGCAAATCTCTGAACACTAACAGATTGAGGTAATGGTGAACACAGATATGGTGTATATACACAAGGGGATTTATTTTTGATATGTCGTTCCTTGGCAGTGCAATCTATCAAACATTTCAAACTATTATAGGTTAAAGCAAACAAAGAACACATTTCAATAAATAGGCTGTGAATACAATCACTTCTTTAAACGTTATCTGAGGAGTATGATTTTTGTTAAAAAGCACACAATCTTGTTTTCAATCTATAATCACAATTTTAACACGGACTGTATAAGTCAATACATGATTTACATTACTTGTATGTGTGTTGTATAATCATATTTTTATTGACACCCTTTTTAGTGTATAGGTTCCCAATGTTGTATGTGCATGCTGTATATAACCATTGGGTAATAGACACAAGACAGGTGTATATTTGTTTAATGTTAAAATGCTATTTTTGGTACATATGAGAGAGCCAGTTTTTATAATTATACTAGATAATTCAACTTATTTTCATGTTTAAAACATAACCTGTGCTTGAGCTGCGTATTCAAATGTATATCCCTGATCCATTGGACAAAACACACATGCACATTATGTCACACATCCTTGTGGTTTAGTTACTATCTTGCAAGTACACTCTACACAGTGTCCTCATATAATCCTGCTCAGTTGACCAGTTGCTCCAGTTTAACCCACTATTAGACATGGAATGAGGAAGTCACAGGTACTACCCCCTTAGGACATTACATTATTTATTGGTGACTGATTGTGGGAGAATTACAGAGGTATGAATGTCTAAAACTCAAAACACTTTATGTGGATCTATTCAACCAAAACATAATTGTAAGTCTTTGTTTAACTTTGGAATTGTGCCCTGGAGCTTTTGGGAGCTGACTGAAACGGAACAAAGGGCTGAGTAAACATGAGATGCAGGTTTAAGACTGTTTGTTAAAGGTGTGTATAGCGTAGTGTTTGTGAAGAAGCCAGACAGAGACAACCTCACAGTAATTTCATTATTAAAGAATTTGCAAGTCACTTTGCATTCAAAGCTTGAGACTGAAGCTTGAGACGTTTTCAAGTTCATCTCCAGGGTGATCCCAGCAGTGCAGTTTATTAGCTCTTGAACCATTAGGTCAGCACATTTCATTGTCACTGAGTATAAGAGCAAGCTGCCACTGTAGAATCTCAATTTCTTATATACTATTTGTAATTAGTCATTTTATTGATGTTCCATACTGAAAATATGTGTTGATGTTATATTTGTTCCCCTGTTACTCAATGTCACAGCAAAATGAATAACCCATTTGTCCATGTTGGTTTTTTTTACATTGAAATTTGAATATTTTCACACTCAACTGCGTGATGTGAGCTTCCTCTCTGTTTCACTACTTTAAAAGCCATTTCTGCAACCCTGTGGACAACAGAGGTACTACTGGAGTGAATGTGCTTCATGTTTACGTCTACATTTTAATGCAATATAATGAGAGAATAAAAACATTTCAAGTGATTTAAAAAAATCTGAAGTTGTGAGTAGTTTTTGGTACATCTTGTTGTGATATCTTGCTTTAATGCTGGAGTAGCTGATGGCCCAGATATACCACTATTGCCCGAGGAAGCATAAACACAAAACAAGCAGAGGTCCTCTTTACCCCCATTGCCCTGAGCCAACCAGGGGACAGCACAGCATCGTTCCCATAACAAACCACCTCTTACAGCATATAAACTGCGTCAGATAACAGAATCCTTGCTGCCTTAGACACGTCTCCCACTAAGAGTCTGTGATGTTATACTAGAACATCAGAATTTGATTTCGACGTGAGCTACTCTAATGTGGACATAGCTGACCTCGTGAAGACTGCAAAATGGTTCAAGGATTTTCTGAGATAGCCGCAATGTGTGTCGGGCTGTTTGGCCTGATCGGGGCGGCGGCTACTACAGGGATGCCCATGTGGAAGGTGACAGCTTTCATTGGGGCAAACATCATTGTGATGGAAACCCGTTGGGAGGGCTTGTGGATGAACTGCTACAGACAAGCCAACATCAGGATGCAGTGTAAGGTGTACGATTCCCTGCTGTTCCTACCTGCGGATTTACAGGCAGCCAGGGGTCTGATGTGCTGTTCTCTGGCCCTGTCGGGACTGGGGCTCCTTGTGGCAATGGCAGGAATGCGTTGTATATCCTGTATTCGGGAAAATGATCGGGCCAAAACTATCATCCTCCAGGTTGCAGGTGGTATGCAGTTCATGGCCTGTGTCTCTGTCATTATCCCTGTGTCGTGGACTGGTCATGTCATCATTCGAGATTTTTATAATCCTTTGCTAATCGATGCCGAGAGAAGGGAGCTTGGAGAGGCTCTCTACATAGGTTGGGTGACCAGCGCCTTCCTTTTCGCCTCAGGCATGTTGTTCGTCTGCCGCCGTAGACCTTCAGAGAAAGGCTCATTCAACGTGTACAACCAAGCCAACTTGCTACGTTACAAGCCAGCAGCCAGCAGGCCGACTCTAATGAGGTATCATCCCATTTCAAGTGTTCCCAGCCTCCCATCAAATGCTTACTATCCTTCTCTGCAGGCCAACGGCTATGTTGGACAACAATTTGAAACACGAATGCAAAACATCCCCCGAGTGATGACAAATAATGGAACATTAATCAGCCCTCCTGTTGTCTATAATCCAGGTTTGCCTGACAATCAGTCAATGTTATATCAAGACAGCCTGGCTCACCATTCCTCCATGCACAGTTCTAACCATGTTGAGAGCTTGTATACACCAGGCAACTCTTTGTACATGAGCCAGAACACCACACCATATTCCCTGACTTATATGAGCAATCCTGCTGCGTCCTACCAGTCCAGTATTCAACCGGTTCCACACACTCCTGTGTTCATAGGGTATACATCATCAAGGAGACAACAGTCTCGCAGTGGAAGCGGTCCTGGTGTATACATCTAGACAAAAATTGTGAGTGGGTTTTTATTAGCTGGTTAAACATTAAAGACACAAAGCACTATGCTTTATAGTTTATCATCACAAGTTTATTTCAACTGCTGTACAGTACATAAGAGGCAAGATGGTCAATGAATGCCTCACGCCCAGACTAAATTGCTTGTCTATCTGTTGTTGTTTTTTTCAATTAATACACAAAAAAGACAAGGTTGAATATAACTGCTGGTGATGTTAGTGTAAATATAGGTCCCAGTGGGCTGTTTCAAACTTACTTTTCCAAAATAGAAAGGCCCTGTGTTTTGCATTTTTTGTATCTGTCTTATATTTAAAGAATAGTTGGTTATGGTTTTAGTGTGTTATTTTGAATTGTCTTTTACCAACGGTATAACTCATTTAAAGCTATTTGTTAGAGTTGTTTGTCATACGTTTGTATTAATAACTTGTCAATAAACAACAATGTTAAATGACGATTGTTAAGTGGAACATCCAGTCTTTAAGATGC